TCTTCCACCATATCAGTTTTTGGGAATCAGACTCAGGTCGTCAGGCTTGGCAGCAAGTACCTTGTCCCACTGAGTCATGCTGCTGGCTCAGCCTCCCTGTTTATGATTGCTGTTCTCATCAGCTTCTCTAGGGTTCCAGTAGCATAACATACATTTTGAATTGCCTGACTGCTTCCTCTTAGTGTTATTTAAATACCTTTCTGATACTCTACATTGCCTTTGAATTGGAAATTAAATCTAGAGGGACAACTAGTATATTCAGACACAAAAACATTGTTTTGCCTAGAATTCTTTTTTTTTTAATATTTTTGTTCATTTTTATTTTTGATCCCTCCAAAGAAAATATTGCAAATTGTCAAACCTTAGTTTTTCATACTGCAGTGACCCTTTCCAACAAAGCTGTAAACTCTCATACTCTAGTCTGAGGAGGTAATGCTTGATGTTTCAAATTATTGTAAAAGAGACATCACACAGAATTTCCCTTTGGAAGCATTTTCCACCATTCATATGGTTTGGTGGTGTTACTAAGTACATTCACATCATTGTTGGCTTCCCTCAAAGCAACCCTGAATCACAACCTAGAATCCGTGCGCCCAATGACAGTCATCCTACCTCTCCTATTCATTTTGCCCCAAGAATCTTCATCTGATGATGCCCTCTGTGGGATTCATTCATGTTTGTCCATCTTCCTCTTGGTGGTGGTGAGGAGGCAGATGAAATCACTGGGTAAGGCTGCAGCTGTGAGTGTGTGGAATGGGGCTGAGGCTTTCCTGTGGGAAGCAGGTAGGGAGTGAGAGAGAACCTGAAACTTGAATGTGAGTGGTAAATCCCTGCCTCTAGAGCAGAAGTATGTTGGGCTGTGAGCCAAGGTGGTTGGACCAGAAACGTTCCCTGCCAGGCCTTGTCCCTATCATTCTGTTCTTATGTTTAAGCTATGAACGAGACACCAAGAGAATCTGCTTGGCATCTGCCTTTCTTTTGAGGAAGACATAAAGATGTCAGCCTCCATAACAGTGGTTCTTTGAGAGCTCAGTGGAGTTTTCTGGGTTAGGGAAAATAGAGAGTTGATTTGTGTGGTGTGATGATGTGAGAGCTTAGCTTCTGCTGCTCCTGCTCCAGCCACCTCCAGCCACCATACCTCCCTGACATGATGGACTGTAATTCCCCTGGAACTGTAAGCTCAAATAAACTCTTCCTTCTATAGATTACTTTGGTCAGTGTTTCTATCACAGCAACAGAAAAGTGACTAGTACAGTAATTGGTACCAGAGAGTGGGCTGTTGACTATGAAGAACCTGACCATGTCGGGTTTTGGAGGAATGTGGAAGACTTTGGAAGTTTGGGCTTGAAAAGTGGTTGATTGCTGTAAGCAGAGCTCAACAGGCCTTTCTAGTAAGTGCCTGGAAGAAAGCAGTGCTGAGAACAATGTAGTTCCAGAGGGAAATAAGGATTTAAACAGCACTTGGGATATTTTGGTAGAGTCTGGCTGGAGTCTGCCCTAGACCAAAAGGCTTGCCTGAGGCTAAGTTGAAAAGTAATGGACTAATTTATTTGGCGGAAGAAATTTCAAGACAGCCTAATGTAGAAATGGTGGCATGGCTATTAATGGTGAATATTATGCAGATCTACAGTGAAAGAGAGAAAATGGGGCAGAAAGAAATCTAGGAAGATTAATGTTGGTGACCAGGCATGAGATGGAGAGGATCCCATTGATAAGGAGATTAAAGTGATTAAGGAGGGGCCTAGAGATTCAGATTTAAACAATGGAGAGAGTGCCTTGAGGGCAAGACCACACCCAGTTAAGCCTCCAATTTATGAAGTGAAAATGATGGGGGGGGGCACTGAAGAGAAAAGCTTCTAAAATAGATAAAGCAGGCTAGGGTCCATCCCAAACTTGCAGTGTTGCTCACCTGGTGCTGGCTTTAGAGGCATGAAAGATGGAAGAGTGAAGGGGTCATCAATTTTTCCTCCGAGGTTTCAGAGAGCCTCCGGAGGCCACACAGCATGAAACAGGGGTGCCCCTGCCTAGAGAAGGCCCTGATAGGCCATTGCGTGAAGTTGTGAAGGTGAAGCCTGGTTGGCAGTGGAGACCCCCAAGAAGTTCGTGATGCCAGAGCTGTGAGGCATCTGCCAAGAAGCCCTGCACACAGGGAGTGGTACCAGCACAAGAGAGAGATGTATATTGCACACAGCAAAGGTAGAGAGGCTGAGCCTTCTAAGCCCTTTGGAAGTAAAGTCCCAGAAGTTGGACGTGGTGCTCCTGGATTTGGTGTTTGCCCTGCTGGTTTTTGGTCTTGTTTTGGTCCAGTATTTCCTTACTATGCCTCCATTCCTCCCTTTTGGAATGGTAATGTGTATTTGGTTCCACTGTATGTTGGGAGTATGTAATTTGTCTTTTGATTTTATAGAGGCTTACAGTTAAGATATTTGCCTGAGTCTCAGAAGAGACTGTGGACTTTTCAGTAGTATTGAGACTAATAATAACTATGGGGTCTTTTAAGATTGGACTAAATGCATTTTGCATTTTATATGGTCATGAGCCTACGGGGGCCAGGGGGTGGAATGTGGTGGTTTAAATGGAAATGTCCCCCATAGGCTCCAAGTATTTGGACATTTTGTCCCCAGATGATGGCGCTGTTTTGGGAGGTTTTAGAAGGCATGGCTTTCCTGGAGGAAGCACGTCACTGGGGGTGGGCTTAGAGAGTTCTTAAGCCTTGCCAGATCTCCAGTTGGTTTCTTGCTTCCTGTGCCTGTGTGATGATGTGAGAGCTTAGCTTCTGCTGCTCCTGCTCCAGCCACCTCCAGCTACCATGCCTCCCTGACATGACGGACTGTAATTCGCCTGGAACTGTAAGTTCAAATAAACTCTTCCTTCTATAGATTGCTTTGGTCAAAGTTTCTATCACAGCAACAGAAAAGTGACTAATACATGTGGTTTCTCACATATCCTTCTGCAATTTGGACGTTACAGCTTAATTGGGGGCTGTGGGACAATCTGAGGGCAAGGATTCTGGATAGGTAGTGCCCTGTACTTCCTAGCAGCCGGCAGGAGGCACATGGTGACTGGCTGTGAGTGAGTGCGTTCCCCTGATGACTCCCTGGTTCCTTCCTTGTAGAGTTGTCCTTCACATATACCTTAAAAGTTTCTGCATTCATTGGTAGCCATTTCTTTACTCAGTTATTTCATTGGATTATAAGACTGATTATCTCATTTTATCATTTTATTTCAGTATTAATAGACTATAAATTTTCTCTCTAGAACTTTCATTTGTTAGAGCTGTCTAGTTACCCTGAAATATGGTCAATCCTAGAAAAGAAGGCCAAATGCTGAATTCTACCCTTTGATGACCAATTTTCAAAGGAATGAGTTGGTGTCCCTGCAGTTTCCAAAGTTGTTTCATGACTTTTTCCTCTCCCTTCCCCTTCCCTCTCCCTTTCTACTTTTCTTAATATGTGGTCATAGCCATTAACAAAGCAGCCATTTTAGCCATTTGTCTTTGTTTTTTGTTGAGACAAGAGCTCCCTGTAGACCCAGCTGAACTGGAACTTGCTATGTAAACGCTGGAACTCACTGGGTAGGCCCTGCTGGCCTGAATCTCACAGAGTTCTGCCTGCTTCTGCTTCCCAAGTGCAGGATTAAAGGCGTGTGCCTCCATGTCCAGCCCATTTGTCTTTTTGATGATGAAGTCATCCCATTTAGTTGACTTACTCCCTTCCAGCTGACCCCTTCATTTTGTGACCCACTCTTGTGAGGCTTATAGTTTCCCTCGTTTCTGGCAAGATGAGATGTTGCAGACATACTCTTTCTTTCCCAGGAAGGGCTGGATTGGTTTTTTCTCCTAGGTGCTCTGGTTCATTTGAGTGGGGGTTGGTATCTGGTGACTAATCTGGGGTTCTCACTGCTTCTCAGAAGTCATTGATTCCAGTGACAGGACAGAGCTAGGAAACAAGTATATTTAAAAAGAGTAGGGGTCTGAAGTTATGGCTCAGGGTAGAGTGCTTACCCAGCATGAGGGAGGCTCAATCCCCAGTCTAAGAAAGGGGAGGAGGCATAGTACAATGGTAGCTGCCAGGACCAGGGAAGAGGAAGGAATGGGAAGTTTCCGTTTCAGTTTCAGTTTCTGGTGAAAACTTCTAGGATGGATACAAAGCAGTGGGGACATGCTTGCCGCTGTGGAATTCTCAACTTAAAAATAGTTATATGTGTATAATATTTTACCGTGGTAAAAAAAAAGACGGAATCTTAAAGCAGAAAAAGTAGACAAAAATATAAGAACTTTATACTGTTTTCATTTAAAGTTAAGGTTAATAAGGACTTTGCTTAATTCTTGAATTTTGTGCTTACCACCCTTTTACTTTATACTCCAAGTTTTAATCAAAATTGCTTTGATAGTATACTAGCTACTTTTTTGTTGTTGTGGATGAAAATACTATGACCAAGAGCAACTTATAGAAGAAAAAGTTTATTTGGCTTACAGTTCCAGAGGGACAGTCCATAGTGATAGGAGGCATGGCAGCAGGCTACTGGAGCAGGAAGCTGAGAGATCACATCTCCATCCGCACCACCCCCTGGTGTACTTCCTCCAATGAGCTCCATGCCTTAAAAGTTCCATAACCTCACCAGGCATGATGGCACATGCCTTTAATCCCAGCACTCGGGAGGCAGAGGCAGGTGGATCTCTGTGAGTTCAAGGCCAGCCTGGTCTACATAGTGAGTTCCAGGACAGCTGGGGTTACAGGGAGACCCTGTCTCAAAAAGACCAAAAAAAAAAAAAAAAACCAGTTCTGTAACCTCAAGCAATGCCACCAGCTGTTTTTTGAACACTGAGTGTTCAGATACGTAAGCCTGTGGAGGGACATTTCTCATTCAAACTACCACATATAGTTATAATTCTGTGATAGTAATTACTTCTGGTTCTGACTTCTAGCTACAGTAGAAGATTGTTCTTTTGTGGGACCTGTGCTAAATTCTGAGCCTTTCTGTTGTCTTTTTTGTTGTAGACCCTGCTTCCAGGACTTGCTGGCTCCTCTGGGGAGGCAAAACCCACAAGTGTGGCCTCCTCATCTATTTGTGGAAGTGGTGACAAGGTCTATGCTTGCCAGATGGTCCGTACAGACTCCCGGGAGCAGAAGCTAGATGCCTTTCTACAGCCTCTGAGCAAGGCCCTGTCCAACCAGCCCCAGGCCCCTGTCCCAGGGGATGAGATGGAACATTCTGGTGGAGAAGCCAGGCAGCAGGATGAGGAGATGCTTGAACCCCCAGCCCCCACTGAAGCAGCTGCCAAGAGTCGGAGCTTGGAGGAGGACACAATAAAAGGGGCTTCAGAAGCAGCACAGAAAGCAGCACCCACTTCCAGCCCAGGCAACCCCAGGTATGTCCTGTGTGAGGAAGAGTAGCTTGCCTCCTTTGCTCCTCACTAAAACTATCTTCTAGCAGGTTTCCACAAACCAGGTGTGCCTCTGCTTGCAGGAATGAGTAAACTGGAGTCAAGTAACTTGTTCAAATGGCCATTTCAATAGGCAGTACTGTGGTCTTGTCTACTGTCTGCTTTCGATGTGACTTGACACACAGCACCATGGTTTCCTGTGAGAGATCCTAAATGTTCATGGTTTCAAGTATTTGTTAAAAGCACATTAGAAAGAACACAGCTTTTATTTTTAATAAAACATTTTGATAAAGCCTTAACACCAGAGGTGGTTGGAGAGAAAAGCGTAAAATAGCTCTTTCATCCTGTCAAGGCTGCTGTTACTCCTTTCAGAAGCAGCACCTTCTCAGTCCAGTTTACAGAATTTCCTGAAGTGTACAAGCCATTGTGTGGGTGCTGAGAATCGAACCTGGGTCTTCTGCAAGAGCAGCCAGTGCTCTTAACCACTGAGCCATCTCTCTGGCTCCTTAAAATCTTTTTTGAGTTATTTAATTTTACGTGTGCAGCGTGTGCAAACCTGTGGAGGCAGAAAGAGGGTATCAGATCCTCTGGAACTGGAGTTCTGCATGGGTGTTAGCTGCCATGTGGACTGAACCCAGGTCCTCTGCTAGAGTTTCCATTGAGCCATCTCTCTAGCCCCTGACTGAAGTTCTTATCCTTTGGCTGCCCTTTATGTTCCCTTAACCTAGAAGGCTCTGGCCTCTTGTCACTTATGTCTCAGCTCAAATGTCATCTCTTGCCAAAGATTTTCTTTTGTATGTTTAAACAAAAGATCCCTCTCCTTTACTCCCTATTAGTGTGATTTTGTATTTTTGTCCTAGCATCAGTAACTATTAAAAATCTTTCTTGGGACTGGAGAGCTGGCTCAGTAGGTAAGAGCACTGGATATACTTGCAGAGGACCTGGGTTTGATTCCCATCACCCAGATGGTGGCTAACAACTATCCATAACTGCAGTTCCATGGGATCCAGAGCTCACTTCTGGCCTCTGCAGGCTGTCCTTACATGGAGGCAAAACACTCATACACATACAATAAAAATATACAATAAAATAAAAATTCAAAAATCTTCTGTTGCTCTTTGACTTTTCCACTAGAACATAAGCATCAAGAGATGTGTTCACTGCTATATGTAGTTGGTGCCTATCAGTGTCTAGAGGAGTGAGTCATGAAGGAAGGAAGGAAGGAAGGAAGGAAGGAAGGAAGGAAGGAAGGAAGCAAGCAAGCAAGCAAGCAAGCAAGCAAGCAAGCAAGCAAGCAAGCAAGCAAGCAAGCAAGCAAGCTAGCTTGACAAGTTCAGTTTACTTGGGACCTGACTCTAAATCCTGGTTGCGTGCAGTTGTGGGCTGGCTATTGGGACCTGAGGGTTGTTGGATAAGCAGTGCAGTGTGGAACAGACAACTGCTGGCCTGCTGCAGCACAGCTGTGTGGAAGTGGCACTGGCACAGACAAGCTGCTCTCCTCCCAAGTGCAACACATAGAGCTTCGCCAAGTTAAAAAAATAAAGATGATAATGAGCTGTCAGTTCTTTCTCTTTGCAGAAAGAGACACTGGGAAGACTCTGACGTAGAAATGGTGGAAAATGATTCCCGGAAGGAAATGACGGCTGCTTGTTACCCACGGAGAAGGATCATTAACCTTACCAGTGTTTTGTGTCTCCAGGAAGAAATTAATGAGCGGGGACATGAGAGTACGTAAGTGATAAGGTCTGTGTGGCAGTTCCCAGGTTAGAAATGCAGAAAGCAGTCCTATTGTGGGGTAGGCACTGCTGTGTGCTGTTTTCCCTTACACAGACATCACCTAGAAGGCAGGTTTTAAAAGGGAGAAGGGGGCAATGAGCTGTTGGCTTCATCTAGTTAGAACTGGTATTACTAAATCAAAGGGTTCAGGTAAAGCAGTCATTGTACTAATTTCTACTTTGCTTCTTTTCTAGCTAAAAGCAACATAATGAATGATCAGCAAAGTTCTTTCCCTGTCAAGTGTGGTGTGCTATTGCTGAAAGCTTACAGGTTATGGAGATGGCTTGAGCTCAGACCCTAGACTACCATTTCTGCTGTGTGAGCTGACACTAGGGACTTAGGCTTTCTATGCCTGAGAAAGTGAGATTCATTTTACCCTGAAAGATCACTGTGTTGAGTAGAAAGAACTATAAATGACACTTGTTAAAAAGGCAGTGAATATTTTTCGATCCTGAACACTAGTAAATCTCTTTTATCCTCAAAAATAGGTTTTTGGGACTACTTGGATATAGAACATCCATCCTGGTCCCTATTATTACAAAACTGAGTTAAAGGTTTTAGAAGTTAAACTGGGGATGGAGTCAGGCATTAGAAGTGCAGCAATGATTGGCCCTCAGCCATCCTGGCCATACCTTATGAGTCACTAATGCTCCAGCTATAGACTCTTTGTGCAGGGTTCCTGGTGTCAGCTCTGTATGAGTCTATGTAATTTGCCTGTGACCTTTCCAGTTTTCATCTGTCATGTATTTATTCAAATTTCAAAGGCCTGTGAGTTGGCTCAATAGGTAAAGGTACTTGCCACCAAGTTTGACAGCCTGAGTGCAATTCTTGAGACCCACGTGGTGGAAGGAGAAAACTGACTCCCCGAAAGTTGTCCTCTGACCTCCACATGTGTGCTGCGACAAGTGCATGCCACACATGTACACATACATATACATGAAAACAAATAAGTAAATGTCATAAAATAATTATTATTATAGAACATATAGATAATTAGTCATTTTGTTTGTTTTGAGACAGGGTCTAACTCTGTAGTTCAGGCTCCATGTGTAGCCCAAGTTGGCCTTGAATTCTTGGTCCTCCTGCTTCTGCCTCCTAGGTGTTCGGATAGCAGGCATGTGCCACTATACTGTCCTCCTGGATTAAGCTTGGAAAGCATTGAGTAGCTCAGTAGCAAGTCAGTATCATCTGCACTAATCCTTAACCTAAATAGCTGCTCTGAGTCAGTGGCCACAGACTTTCCTGTCCTGCTCACCATTTGTCTGAGCCAATGTAGGAAGACCTAAATCTGCTTTTCCTTTATTCGTCTCTTTTTTTTTTAAGCGCTCTGGCCCTGTTTATATGTGGTGAAAGATGCAGAGAGTGTCTCCACACTCAAGCAGGGCAGAAACTTCCTGCGACTGAGCAGTTGCCAGTTGGCTTCTGATTTCTCTTTCCATGAAATTGTGCTGTAGTTGCTCTTTCTCTCATCACTTTTCAAGCTGTGAACTCTTGAAGCAATTTAAAGTAGGAAAGGTGGGCTGCTGCTGGATTGTCTAGCAGTCCTCACAGTAGTGATAGACAAGCTCCTCAGACTTGGAGGTTATTAGAGATCATTTCAGTAATTTTTTAAAGATTATGATATATTCTTACTCCTTTTAAATTTATTTTTATTTTATGTGTATGAGTGTTTTGCCTGCCTGTGTATAAATGTACCACTTTCATGCAATGCCCTCAGGCCAGAAGAGGGCGTTGGATTCCCTGGAACTGGAGTTACAGACATTGCTAGCCACCATGTGGGTGCTGGGAACAGAACTGGGTTCTCTGCAAGTGCTCTTAACCACTGAATCTACTTTCCAGCCTCAGTAATATTTTTAATATTATCAGACTGTGCAGTGAAAGGTGAAAACCACATTATATCAAGAGTGGTCAAGTTTGCTGAGGCCAAGATGATGAATCTAAGTAGTCTAACGTTGTATATTCATACATGCTGTCTCAATTCTCAAATAGTCTTATAAGAGAATCAGAGCTCGGCTTCCATCTCCTATTTTAAAGATGAGGAAACAGAAGAGAAAACAGATTGGTTGGAATATCTGAACAGTCTAGAATAGACCCTGGCATAGCAGCACATGCATTTAGTCCCAGTCACTGTGGAGACTGAGGCAGGAGGCTCACTTCAGGTCAGGAGTTCCAGGCCAGCCTGGGCAACACAGTAAGACTTAAACTCTGAAACAAAATAAAAACAAAAACACAGCAAAGAAAAAGAACAACCTGGCTCAGTGAGTTGGTACGGGCAGTGGCCTTTGTGGGAAGAGTTAATTAGTATTTAAATGCCTTGGTCTTTGGGGAACAGTCTTTTGCGGTCAGATGTACACACTTTTAACCTAAGTCATCCCGGGAAACTGTTGTACACGAAATAGTTGTGCAAGCGTTTGTCAAGCATTTTCTTCATAGAGTTCACTGTGCTGTACTTGGGGCGACAGGTGAAGTGTGGCTGTGACTGTGGCCTTTAAGGCTGTCATGGTGTTATCCACAGATTGTTTAGTAAACAACTGACTGCTCTATCAGGTAGGATGAAAGAGGCTCTGTGGAGAAGTGCTGGTCAACAGTGCTCCAGATGACATCTCCTGAGAGGGATGGAAGGAAGCCTTGGTCACACGCAACAGCAGAGGAATCAGGGAATGGGGGCTTCTGCTTCAAGGCCCAGAGGACTGGGTCCTTCCTTCGGGACCCTTTCTTAGCTTTAGCTTTGCTTACTGCTGCTGAGAAAGTTATCAAGACTCAATTGACAAATATCAAGACCTCAGTTTTGAAATAGGGTATATGGTTTAGCTTTTATGTAACAGAAGGATTTGTTCCATTTTGGTCTTTGTAGAATGGGAGAGAAACACATAAGAGAAACCCTTATAGAGCTGGAGAGCATTTAGGATGGGATAAAATGCAGGCCCTTTAAGCTCTGGGGAGGCTGTGAAAGGCCCCATGCTGTGAGTTGGCATTGGGTCTGTTCTCTTTTGACTGGGTTGCACTTCAGTAGCTGTTGGTGGTCAGAGAAGGCCATGAACATTCTATTCTGCTTGAAGAACTCTGGCCCCATTTCAGGGGATTACACTGTTCTTTCCTCCAGTGCCTTATTATTCAAGATTATTTGATGTTCTCCAGCTTTTAAAATAATCATTTCCACCTACACAGAACATCCTGTAGAGACGCTGAGTTTCCAGTGGGAACAGTGGGGAGCACGTATTCTATATTTGAACAAATAAACCTCTTTTTAAGGAGTGTGTGTAATTGCAGAACTTATGTAACAATGGAAATGTATTTGTGGTGTCCCAAGCTTAAGGAAAAGGTGCATCAAAACTATGACATCGAGGCTCACTGCTGCACCCAGTCCTTTGTTTTTTTTTTCCAGTTCCTCATCTGCCACCTTCGGCATTTCCTTTTTTTCTTTAAAAATAATTTTGGGAAGAAAATAATGATTTAGGGGCCTGGAGGTTTTGGCTGAGTGGTAGCTTTGCTTGGTTGTGTCTCGTTCTTATGCCTGGGACTTTAGGTGTGAAAAGTGTTTAGTAGGAGTCCATTCTTACTTTGTTTTTTTGTTTTTCTAGCTCTCCGGGAGATGCTCCGAAACCATTCCTTTGTGGGCTGTGTGAATCCTCAGTGGGCCTTAGCACAGCACCAGACCAAGCTATACCTTCTTAACACTACCAAACTTAGGTAAATTTGTTTGAAAGCTGCAGAACCACCAGAATATTGGTCCCTAGGGAGAGACACAGGTGCTGGGAGGCCAGGTGAGGACTGGAAAGGATATCTAGGCTTGAGAGTTACAGATCGGGGCTCAAATCCAGGTTCAACCATTTTCCATTTACACGACTAGAAACTTCTTTCCTAAACTATCTCTCATATTTCTAAGCTGTAGATTAGAATAGTACTGCTAAGTTTGATCAGTATTCTGTAGGGATAAAGAATAACTTAAAAAGCCTTGTCCTTGGCTCAGTAACTCAGTAAACAAGGCTGAGTAAACTTTGTTGAGGGCTCAGTGCCATTAGAGACCTAGTATCTCTTGTGTGCAACAGGGTAGAGGGGAGGCAAGAGAAGGAAGACCCAGTGCCTTTCTCCTAGATTTGGGGATGTAGCAAAGGCTTATATTAACCACCATATTCAGCATGGGAAAAGTGACCCTAGTAGTGCCATTCGCTTTCTTCATAGCTGGTGACATTTCTGTTGTTTCCAGGGACCTTGATGAGTCTCAAGTCTAAAACCTATATTAAGTATGTCTCAAACAGGTAGTACATATGGGAAGATGCTGCCACCGTGTATCCCCTGCACAGTGCGAATCTACTCTGGGATCTTTCTGTAAGCCCTGCGGTGGCCTCAGAATGTTTCTCGGTCTTGTAAGTGGTGCAGATACTGCACACTGCTTGAATATGGCAGACGAGCTAAAAACCCATTTGCCATTTTAATCTAGAAACAGCCCCAATCCAAAAGCTCACCCTTGGCACATACATCTCCTCGGGTGTTCAAAAACTATTCTTCCTAGGTTTGGACACCTTTCTGGTACAGCTCTATAAGTTTCATGGTTTCATTTGTTTAATGTTAGTTACTTTCATCATCATTGACCAAATATATGACAAGAAGCACCTTAAGGGAAGAGAAGTGTATTGGGCTCATTGTCTGAGGAGATGACATCCATTATGGCAGTGGCATGGCAGTGGGAGAGGCTCCTGGCTGCAGCAGCAGGACTGTGAGGGAGCTGGACACATGACCTAAGCAGTGAAGTAGAGAGCTGAGGCCATAACTCTGGTTCTGCCCTTTCAGCCTGCCATCTGGGCCCCATGTGGGAGCATTTCATATTTCGTATTTCATTCAGACCACAACATTGAGCTGCGAGCTGTACTTTGTTGGGTATTTTCCTTCCCTTGGGTTTTCTTTTTTCTTTTTATTTTTTTGTTCTTTTTTTGAGACAGGGTCTCCCCATAGCCCCAGCTGGCCTGGCACTTGCTATGTAGATCAGACTGGCCTCAAACTCACAGAGATCCTCCTGTCTCTGCCTCCCTAGTGCTGGGATTAAAGGCATGTGCCACCATGCCTGGTTTTTCTTTTGAAGCATATCTAAGTGTATGACTTCCAAGTCTCTATAACACAGTTGTGTTCAGGTTTTTTCTTTATTATTTTTGTGTGTGTGAATGTATTGCCTGCATGTAAGTGAGGGCACCTGTGTTGTGCAGTGCTGCAGAGGTCAGAAGAGGGTTTTGGATTCCCCTGGAACTAGAGTTAAGGATGGTTCATAGCCGCCATGTGGGTGCTGGGAATCGAACTTGGGTCCTCTGCAAGAGCAGTCAGTGCTCTTAACCACTGAGCCATCTCTCCAGCCCCTGGGTTTTTTCATCTTAGACACAGAAATCTAGGTCAGCTACACACTGCACCTACACATTGAGCATCCCTAATCTGAAGTCCATACTGCTCCCACATCTCAAGCTTTAAATAACAAAATGATGCCATAAACTAGAAAATTCCATATCATGAAACTTTGTTTTGTGCACAAAATTATTAAAAACATATTACTTTCAGACTGTGTCTATAAAACATATTAAGAATGCTGGGCATGGTGGCGCACACTTTTGATCCTAGCCCTTGGGAGGCAGATCTCTGAGATTGAGGCCAGCCTGGTCCACATAGTGTGTTCCAGGTGGGCTGGGACTAGGGAGACTCTGTCAAAAAAAATAAAAAATAAAGTAAAATAAAAAATACAAATAAAATAGTAAAATTAAAAATTAAAAAATTGTAAGTAAAATTAAAAAATTAAATTAAAAAATAGAATAAGATAAAATAAGGCATAATACAGAGCCAGGAAGATGGCCTGCTCAGTAAGTGCTTGCCATGTAGGCGTGCAGACTTGAGTTCAGTCCCCCAGAACCTACATGCAAAAGCTGAGTGCAGCAGTGCATGTGCGTAACACTAGCATCGGGGTGTCCAGAACAGGAGGATCTCTGCAGCTTGCTGCTGGCCACCCAGCCTAGCTGGGACAGGAAGATCCAGCTTTATCCAAAAAGGAAGCTACTCAACGTCAACCTCTGTCTCCATGTACATGTGCACACATGCATATGCAAAACTACTAAATAATTAATTTTGCATTTAGACTTCGATTTCATATCTAACATCTCATGTATATGCAAATATTTCAAAATCCTAAGCATCCAAAATCCAAAACAGTTCTGGTTCCAAGCACTTTGGATAAGGTGTAACCTAAGCCTAAAATAAGCATCCTTTCTAGTGAGAAGGTGAAAATCACAGACAAAACTGGGTTCCAAGGCTGATACTGAGAGTCGGCTCCTCACTTTGCCACTTTTACTGACTGACATGGAACAAGTCTGTTGCTCACAGGGTGCCTCAGTTTCTCCACTATACTGCTAGTGCACAGCAGATTCTGTTTGATGGATAATGAAGTCTAAGCAAGACCCAATATTGTTCAGCTTAAGAATTGTAAAATAAGTTAGGCATGATGGCATTATAGGCATGTGCTTGGAATGCTCACACTTAGGAGGCTGAGGCAGGAGGATCACAAGTTCAAGGGCATCATAGGCTACATAGTGAATTCTGGGCTATCATGGCCTACATTTCAAGTCCTGGTCTCAGAATACCAACTCCTCAAATATTAAATAAATAAGCAAAGCAAGTAAATATAATTTATTCCAATTTTGCTTTAAATCATTCAGTATTCATTTAATAGCTCCTCTTGGGTTATTGTCAGCCAGTGTCGCACCCTAACCTCAGTATCAGTGCACTTCCAGACATGGGGTGCACAGCTGTGACCCCAGCACTTGGCAGACTTGAGTTTTAGGTTAGCCTGGGCTATATAGGAAGACCTCGGAAAAAATCATTGTAGTATAATTCTGCCTTGCATCCATTTCTGATTATTCAGGAATATTCCTTACCCTCTCCATACATTCCATAAAATGTTTGGGGGGTTTTTTTTGGTCTTTTTGAAACAGGGTCTCCCTGTAGCCCTAGATGGCCGGGAACTCAGTATGTAGATCAGGCTGGCCTTGAGCTCCAGAGATCCACCTGCCTCTGCCTCTGCCTCCCAAGTGCTGGGACTAAAGGCGTGTACCACTACGTCTGGCTACATGCCATATAAATTTTTACAACATAAACTTACTGTTTTGTTTCTATAGTGCTAAGGACTGAATTCAGGCCTTCATAAGCTAAATAAGCACTCTCTTCCATATGATTTTAAATGGTAATGTGCCAAGAGGTGATTTGTAGTATTCTTTGTTAACTGGGTAAAAAGGAAAGCAAACAAAACACTTAAAAATTTTATTACAGAGTGTCAGAAACCTTTATAGCAGCAGAGAGAATGGGACAAGCCAGACATAGTCTTTGTCTCTGAACTTGTCAGTGGGAGCTGGCTGCAAAGTCCTTGGTAGGGCTGATGTTCGGAATCCTAGTGCTCTGAGTAGTAGAGACCTTGTTAGACTGTTAGTCAAGGTCCAGGGCCAGGTAGTCTGTGTCCTGTTCAAGAGTCTTTTCTCCTGTTCTGTGCTGCTTGGTTCTCAAGCATCTCAGCTTCTTCTTAAAGTCATTTCATTTTTATTTTCAGTGAAGAGCTGTTCTACCAGATACTCATTTATGATTTTGCCAATTTTGGTGTTCTCAGGTTGTCGGTAAGTTATTTCCTCCTCATTTGAAACTTCAACTGGTCATTTCTCAAAATAGGAGCGTATACAAGTAAGAAGTAAGTAATATCTTACTTCTCATATATAAATTTTCCTGAGTCTGCTTAGGAGTTTCTCTATGGTATGATCTGCATTTATATGGAAGTGTCTACTTGGAATAAAGTTTTTTTTCTAAATATTTTATTATTTTTATTTTATGTGTATGAGTATATTGCCTGCATGTGTGCAAGTGCACTCATGTCATGCAGTGCCTGAGGCAGTCAGAAGGAGGTGTCATATCCCTGGAACTGGAGTTACAGATGGTTGTTAGCCACCATGTGGGTGCTGGGAATCGAACCTGGGTCCTCTGTAAGGGCAGTCTGTGCTCTTAATCGCTGAGCCATTTCTCTAGCCTGGGATAAAATTTTTTTATAGGTATATAGTTACTTGATAGCCAATTTAAACAAGCAGTTATTATGGAAATTAATAATATATTTACTTGAGAAAACTTGAGACAAAAATATTCTCTAAAATCATGGTCAAAACAGAGAAGGGGGGAATGTTTTGCTTTATTTTTTGGCACTGGAGATCAAACCTAGGGCCTTGTGTATACTAGGCAAGTGCCATTGAATGCACTCTGATCCACTCTACTTACAATTTTAGTCCTTTTATTCCAAGATGTTTTGGGTGCATGATTTGCATTCAGCCTTCTGGAATTTTGATTAGGATTATATTGAATCTGTAGATCACTTTGGGGGGAAAATCTTTTCTTAATCCTTTGTGTATTACTAAGATAGAAATGCACATGGATTCTGTACACAGATGTTGTGTCTTGCAACTTTGCTAAACTCGACTAGTTGTGGTGTTTCTTATCGATTCTACTTTCTACATGGATTGTCCTGTTGTTGAAAATAAAGGAAGCTTTTTTTCTGGATGTGTGGCCTTTCTTTCTCCTGACTGAGTGCACTGCTAGAACTTGTAGTAAGAGGTGGTAAGAATGGAAATCATATTATCCTGATCTCAGGGAAACGTGCTACATGTCATTTGGATTTGGTATGCTGTTGTCTTATGAAGTGGAGGAAATTCCCTTCTCCTTTGTTTGTAGTTTTTATTTAGGAATAGATACTGGGTTTTGTTTTTTTTTGTTTTTGAGACAAGGACTCCCTGTAGCTCCAGCTGGCCTGAACTGGCTATGTAGACCAGGCTGGCCTTTAGAGATCTGCCAACCTCTGCCTCCCAAGTGGTGGAATTAAAGATATGTGCCCCCTACTGATATTGAATTCTTTTAAAGTGTTCTTTCTTCTACTAAGATAATCGTATGACTTTTAATTTTTAGTCTATTACTATATTGAAGTACATTGACTGATTTTCATCTGTTAAACCAGTCTTACAATGCAGGATGAACCCAGCTTGGTTTATATTATCAGATTTCATTTCCTGAAGTTTTATTTATTTTTCTGTTTGTTTGAGACAGGGTCTCCCTGTAGCCCCAGCTGGCCTGGAACTCACTATGTAGACCAGGCTGATCTCCGTCTCACAGAGATCCGCCTGCCTCTGCCTTCTTGGTGCTGCGATTAAAGGTGTGTGCCACCACGCCCAGTTTATTTATAAATTTTTAAACATACATATTTTATTATTTTATGCATATGTGTGTGTATCTGAGTGTATGTATGTGTACTGTATGTGTGCATGTGCCTAAAGAGCCAGAAGGGGGAGTTGGGTCCCCTGGAACTGGAGTTACAGTTGTTAGCCACCATATGCTAAGCCATGCCCTCTGCAAGAGCAACCAGTGCTCTTAACTGTGTGCCATCTCTCTAGCCTCTATTTGTAAATTTTTTTAATGTTCCTCGTTTATTGTTTTTTTATTTGTGTGGTTTGAGTGTCAGGGTAATAGTTGACTTCATAGATAATTTGGTAAGTATTCTCTCCTTTGCCATTTTCAAAAAGATATTTATTCCTTAATGTTTGGAAGAATTCTTGAGTTAAGTCATCTGGAATTAGAGATGTCATGATGGGAAAGTTTTTATTACAGATTCAATTTCTTTACTAGGTATAGAGGGAACTAGTCAGGTTATCTATCTCTTCTTGAGTAAACCTTGTCTGTTTGGTGTGTGTGTGTGTGTGTGTGTGTGTGTGTGTGTGTGTGTGTGTGTGTGTGTGGGCCAGAGGACCACCTTAGATACCATTTCTCAGGAACTATCCACCTTGTCTTTTTGTTGTTGAGTTTTAGTTTTTTGAGACAGACTCTCACTGGGACATGGAGCTTACCGAGTGGATTAAGCTGTCTGGCCAGGGGGCTCCAGCCATCCTATTTCACCTCCTCAGTTGCTGGGATTACAAGTGCACCACCATGCACAGCTTTTTAACAGAGTTTGGAGAGCAAACTCATGTTCTTATGCTTGCAAGGCAAACACTTTACCTACTGAGACATCTCCCCAGCCTTGCTCTTTTCTTCTGGAAACATCCATTTATTCTGTTTTCAAATTTTTTGGCATAAAATTTTTGATAATAGTTCTTGTTAATATTTATAAATTGGTGGATGACACAACTTCTTTTCTAATGTTGGTATTTTTGTTTTTTGTTCTTTTAAGCCTCACTTTTTAACTTGATCCATTTTATTTTCTTCTCAAAGAACTAACTTTTGCCTTCATAAATTTTTCTAATTTTTTTGTTTTCTGTTTCATTGATACCTGCTCTGATTTCTTTTACTTATTTTGGTTTGTCTTCTCTTGTATATTTAAAAGGTAGAAGCCGAGGTGACTGCTCAGAGTTCTGGCACAGGTGTTCAGTGCTGTTTTCCTGAAGCACTACTTCCAACAGATGTTGAGCTACTGTTTTCATTCTTGTTCAGTTCAATCCTCTAATTTCCATTTTGGTTTCTATTTCAACTCATAGGTATTTAGAACTGTATCATTTAGTTTCTATTCTCTTGGAGATTTTTCCAGACATCTGTTACTGATTGCTACTTTGATTCCAGTTTGATCAAAGAACTATGTATAGTGTGTTTACACTTACTGAGACTTGTTTTGTGGCCTAGAATAACAGCTTTTGCTGGTAAATATTCTTTGTGTACTTGAGAAGAATTTGTATTCGCTTGTTCAGAATGTTCTAGAAATGTCACAAAAGTCTGTAGGGCTTGAGCTTCCTACCTGCTCCCTAACATTCTTCCTTCTTCCTAGGAACCAGCTCCAGTCTTTGACCTTGCCATGCTGGCCTTAGACAGTCCTGAGAGTGGCTGGACAGAGGAAGATGGGCCCAAGGAAGGACTTGCGGAATACATTGTGGAGTTTCTGAAGAAGAAGGCGGAGATGCTTGCAGACTATTTCTCTTTGGAAATTGATGAGGTGGGACAGCCATTCACATGCTTTTGTCCTATTCTGTAGATAAGAGTCAGATTCTAGGGCAGGACCAGAAGGCTGGACTCCCTCAGAAGCAGCATGTGACATTCGTGACACTCTGTCCACTCACCATTTGCACTTTGAAGTTATACAGCTACTGTCGTCCATCGTGCTCTCCTGTTCCCAGGATGAAGGACTCAGACGTGAGGGAGAGCCACATCTCAGTCCTTGCAGGTCTTATCTTCCTCTCATCCCTTGTTCTTTGGAGTTTCTGTCTTGGTATGTTCTTTATTGAGCAGATCAAAGAAAAGATTTTGCTGTTGATGACCAAAGGCTCTTTTTAACTGCTTAGCCCCTCTGCTGTCAGTGATACCCTAGAACCTGGTCAGCACAGTGGCAGGTGTGAAGGCACAGCCTGGAGAAGTACTAGAGACATGCAGTGCCATTATTTCTTACCCTCTTTTCTTTGGCCTTTCCAAGCAGGAAGGGAACTTGATTGGATTACCGCTTCTGATCGACAACTATGTGCCCCCTTTGGAGGGATTGCCTATTTTCATCCTTCGACTAGCCACAGAGGTACATACCGGCAGGTGCTAATCAGTGGGGTTTGTGTGTGTGTAGGAGGGAGAGGGTCCATGACCACACCTTCATTTGGAACTGAAAAGATGATATGCAGAATAGCTGAGAGCCTTATCACCCCACTGGCATATTCATCCCAGCAGTACTTAGCAGGTAGAGCAACAGTTTTAATGCCTAAAGAAGTCATGTATCATTTTTCACCTGTGATCTGTTTAGAAATGAAAAGGTTAAAGAATGTACCTGTCTTGAGGTATTGAATTCTTTGGTCCAGGTGAATTGGGATGAAGAAAAGGAGTGCTTTGAAAGCCTCAGTAAAGAATGTGCTGTGTTTTACTCCATTCGGAAACAGTATATATCAGAGGAATCAACCCTCTCAACCCAGCAGGTACTGTAGTAATATATGTTGGCATTTAGGAGGGTTGTGGTAATATATGTTGGCATTTAGGAGGGTTAGGTCCTCACATACTTTGAAGAAATGGGACCAAACCATCTCTGAAATCCTGTAATTTCACTGTATATAGCAAAGTTCAAACACAGCTTTAAAAAGGTGGTGGGGGCAGGGACGACTGGAGAGATGGCTCAGTCATTGACTGCTCTTGCAGAAGATCTGCAGTTCCAGGGAGTCCAACAACCTCTTCTGACCTCCGTGGGCATTGCATGACACAAGTGCACTTACATACATGCAAGCAATACACTCATACACACAGAATTAAAAATGGGCTGGAGAGATGTCTCAGCGGTTAAGAACACTGGCTGTTCTTGCAGAAGACCCGGGTTTGAATCCCAGCATCCACATGGCAGCTAACAACTGTCTGTAACTCCAGTTCCAGGGGATCCAACAGCCTCTTCTGACCTCTGTGGGCATTGCATGATGTGGGTGCACTTACCTACATGCAGGGCAATACACACAGATAAAATAAAAATAATAACATTTTAAAAAGAATTAAAAACAAAACCAAAAAAACCTAGGGACTTGCTACATAAGCCAGGTTGACTTTGAATTTATAATCCTCTTGCCTCAGCCTCCTGAGTGCAGGTATTATAGGCATGTACCAAAATCCCAACTTTTATAATGGTGAGATTTTTTATTTATTTATTTTTTTGAGACAAAGTCTCACCACATAGTGCTGGTTGGCCTGGAATTGACTATGTGGACCAGGCTGGCCTCAACACACAACAATCCACCTGCCTCTGCTTCCTGAGTGCTGGGCTTAAAAGCATGCGCCACTATGCCCGGCAACAATGGTTACCTATTCATGAGTTTTATTTCTCTGCTGGTGTAGAACATAGACTTCCAGAATGATAACAGAAACTGTCAAATATAGACTAGAATGAAGACGTCAGAGAGGAAAAGAACTGTTGGGTTAGACTGTCCTGGGGACTGCAGGTCTCATTGTTAGCACCGAAGCCCAAGTCTTCAAATTCTGGACCGTCTCCACATCTGCCTTAGAGTCTGCCCTACTGTGCATCTAACCACTGTCTTCCCAGGAAGGTCTATCTCCATTATCCTTCTCAAAGACCAACTTGACACAGGAACCTGGTTTTGTAATGCTTCTTTGTCACTTTTTCCAGTCAGGTGACTATTTTCCAATCACATTTCAGAGGAAGGCAGGGAGGGTCAGGAAGGCATTAAAGGATTACCACTGTACTATATTGCCATCTCAGTGACTGAGCAGTCATCCCAAGGTGAACCATGGGCTTGTTTTACTGAGGAGGAAGCTACAGGACAGTTGGCATGCTCAGGGGGTTCCAGAGCCTTCAGGTGGTAGGAGCAGAAATTAGTCCCAGTTCTGCTGGCTAAAGTCCCTAGGGAATGTCTCACTGCAGTGGAGAAGTAGCACTTACCAAACTGTTCTAAACTTGTATTTGGTTAGAAAAATGTTCCTCGGAAGCCAGGTGTGGTAGTATATACCTTTAATCCTAGAAATCAGAAGGAAGCAGAGGCAGGTCAGTCTCTGAGTTAGAGGCCAGCCAGCCTGGTCTACATACATAATGAGACTGTCTTAGAAAAAAAAACGAGAGAAAACTGTACCTCAAGGAATGGAAGGACAAATGAAAAAGAACATCTTGTTTGTGAAACAACTTAGGCTTATAAGGAGAGGAATGAAGAGGCAAAATTACCCTGTGGAATTTTAAGGAAAACAGGGCAACTTTAAGATCTCCCCCCGCCTTTGGTGCTCAGTTATCTTCCAGGTATCAGGATCAGAAATAGTAGATCTTCTACAGCTGGTACTTCTTTCCTGAATGGGGACCAACGTTCCTTGGTACATGGTCCCACAGAGCACTGGGATCCTGAGACTGGCCTACAGAAGCTGCTTCGTAAGCTTTAGACAGCTGTGGCCATCCTGTCAGCTGGGAAGCCAGTGTGTTGGGGGAGGCAAATGGTATCTCATGTCTGTTTTCCAGAGAGACATGCCTGGCTCCACTCTAAACCCCTGGAAGTGGACAGTGGAGCATGTTATCTATAAAGCCATCCGCTCACATCTTCAGCCTCCGAAGCATTTCACAGAAGACGGAAACGTCCTACAGCTTGCCAACCTACCTGATCTGTACAAAGTCTTTGAGAGGTGTTAAATATGACCATTTATGAACTCGTATATATTGTTCTTGCTTTGTATCCCAGTGTTGTTGATACAACTTAAAAATTTGCATTTTCCTTCATGTCTACATGTCAGATGTGTCTTGATGTGATTTTAAGAGAGGTAAGAGAGCTGAAGCCAGAAAGGAAAAAAAAAAGGGCCTTTTTAGAAAAGGTTGCTTCTGGGGCCTGGAGAGATGGCTCAGCAGTTAAAGAGTACTGACTGTTCTTGCAGAGGACCTGGGTTCAGTTCCTAGCACCCACACAGTGGCTAACAACTATCCATAACTTCAGTTCCAGGGGATCCAATGCCCTCTTCTGATCTCCATGGGCAGTGCATGACAGGGGTGCACATACACACACGCAGGCAATATACTCATACACATAAATAAAATACTAAAATACTTTAAAAAATTAAAAAAGGTTGCTTCTTGCTTCCAGGACTTTTTGCAACCTTTACTTTTACCAACAGTTATTTTTACCAAGGTCCTCTCAGTAAGAATTGTTACAAACTCTCTGAATTTAAAAAGTCCTCCCGAGGGAGGGTATCCTAGGTAACACCAGTGAGAGAGAAGGAAGTTAGCAGATGGGGGGGTCCTGTAAAAAGCTGCCCCCCTTCCCATCCAGATGGGGGTTGTCAGCTGCAGTCTACAAATGGTTTGTCCTGTCATTTTTTGCTCTGCTTAATATTTATTCTCTGCCTGTCACTCTGTTCTGACCTCCATCCTCTCAAAGTCTGGGGAATCTGTTTTCATCCCTTATTCTCATCCTTTTATACTTTCGCTCCAAGTTTGGGGTGGGAGGCAGGGGCCAGCCTTTGAGGGGCAGCTTCTGTGGTCACCCAACACTGCAGGGGAGGTAGACCTCCCAGCAAATTGGCTTCTGTAGTTGCTGGGGCGCCCCCCAAGCTGAGGCAGCTGCTGAGCCTCAGCTTCTCAGCCATCTCTCATTGCTTCCCCTCCCCCAGTTGCTTCCTGTTCCTTCTGCTGTGCATGGGTCTTCTGCCTTTCCCAGACCTCTCACAGAGGGAACTCAGCCACTCCTCACCCCCAAACCCTTATAATAAATTTATTTAATTTCATATTTTAGACTAGTTTCACCTAGTATATACTAGATTGTGTTGAAGACTCCCAAAAGAAGTTTGAAAGGTCCTGGGCATCTGATGAGGCATTCCATACACGATCGAAAATTCCAGAAAAGGTCTTGAAGTTTTCCCAAATCATGCTCTGATTCTGTATTCTGGTAAATGTAAATGTCCATTATCAGATGCTACAGGTGACTATGTCAGTTCAGATGCCTTTTAAAAAGAAGCCCTGAACAACTCCTGAGAAGCCTGCATCTGTGTCGGGTGTTCCTCTGCATCTCTCTCCCTCCCTTCTTGACAGTCATGCTTAAATTTTTTTTTTTTTTGGTCTTGGAACTCACAGAGATCTGCCTGCCTCTGCTGGGAGTAAAGGCATGGGCTACCAAGCCTGACTGCTTAAAGCTGTTAATAAACACAGACTTTGCCATATTAAAACAGTATGTGTGCTAGCTGCTCTTGCCTGCTGGGATTTAGAATTCCCTAGGATAGGCATCTGTGCTTGTGACCACATTTCCAGAGCAGATTAACTGGTGGAAAGACCCACCCTCAGAGTGAGTGGCATAGATATGAAGATATCTGAGGAAAAGTGTGCGTCTGCTGCGCCCCTCACTGCTGCCACCATCCGCTGCTGATCCCAGACTCCATCTTCTTTGGCCTTCCAAAGGAGAGCCAATACTGGTGACTCTCCAGGGAGCTCTCAGGCTTCTGGTGCCAGATTGGGTCTGCTGAGGCAGCCAGCTCTGTGGACTGGGAAGCTTTGGGGTTCTCCACCTCCAGCTGGCAGCTCTTGCTGGACTGCTAATCCCTATTGTGTAAGCCAATCTAATAAATACTTTAAAAATACACACACACACACACACACACACACACACACACACACAGTGCATTAATTCTGTTCCTGTTGAGAACGCTGCCTAAAACAGGTACTGTTTTTGGTACTGAGAAGTGGGGCCATTGCTTTGATAAGGTTGGCCATGTGATTTGTAGGTCTTTGGAACAGGCTTATGAGAAGAATGTGGCAAAGTCTGGAGTTAAAGGCTAGGGGAGCCCAGGAATACTATATGCAGAGCTTAATGGGTGATTGAGGTGGAGTTTGGAAATAAGAGGAACATGGACAATGGATTCCCAGCTCCTCTGATTTGAGACAGAACAAGGATTAGTAGGAGCTGTGCTAGAGGCCATTTCTGTTAGATTCTGGCAAAGAATCTGTGCTTCTTGCCCATGTACTAAAAATTTAAAGGAGGCTGAATTCAAAGGTAATAGATTCAGTTTGGGAGAGGCACTTCCAAGACAACCTTCAGGTGGTGGCATGGTTATCACTGTTGGGGTTTACAATGAGAATTCAAAGCACAAAGATAAAAATATGCAGTCTGATGAGAAAAGGAACATGAAAAAGTTTAAAATGAGTAATTTAACAATTACAGTAACTAATTGTTAAAAGAGATTACACAGCTAAAAAGAAACCTTCCACTTTGGGTCAGAAGAATAGGTGCCCTGAGGGCAAAACCCCACTCATTGAAGGCTCCGCCTATAGAGAAATGAAATTTCATGTGAGGAGTGCCAGTGAAAGGGTTTTTCTGTTTTGAAAAAGACCAGCCAGGAAAGTTTTCCTAGGTTCAGCCACTAAGACAGAGGCCATGTCAGCCATGGTAGAAGGGAGCCAGGCACCTCAAGCTGCCCCCAGAATTTTGCAGCATTGTCAGCACAATGACAGTTTTTTAGGCATGCAAAGAACAAGAGGTACAGGGTCAAGGAGGCTTGCACCAAGGGTTCTGGGAAGCTTCTGAAGCCAGGGAATGTCACTGCAGGAGCTGTGTCGGAAATGCTTCAAGGACTAGATCACCAAGGAAAGCTACAGGCCCACTGGAGCTCCTATGATGCCACCAAGAGCCTCAGAGGCCAGACATTGGACTTTTGTGTTTGTCCTGCTTTGGCCTAATCTTCCCCACTTCCTCTTTTTGGAGTGGAAATATTTATTCTGTGCCATTGTATATTAGAAGTATGAAACTTGCTTTTGATTTTGTAGGTGCTCACAGCTGTTTGTTTTGAGTCTCAGAAAACTGGACTTTTGTACAGTGTTGAGACTGTTAAAGACTGGGGATTTTAAAAATTGGATTGAATGCATTTTGCGTTATGAGATGGCCATGAGTCCACAGGGACAGAGGTGTGGCATGTTGTAGTTAAAAGTGACATGTTTGGGTGCCAAAATGAGAAGGGGTAGAACGGCATGAATCTTCACTATCAATAAAACTAGAGTCACCTGGAAGACATATCTCTGGGTGTGTTTTTGAGGTGGTTTCCCGACAGGGTGAATTGAGGAAGACAACACCCAGACTTGTGGTTGGCATTGTGCCATGGGCTGCAAGACTGAATTAAAAAAAGAAGAAGCTGGCCGAGCACAGCTTTCCTGCCTATCTCCTTCCTGGTCTGCCAAGATGTAAGGAGTCCCAGCTCCATGCTCCTGGCCCCAACCCCAGTGGTTCTACTTTGATGGACTCAACTCTGTCAGCAAAATAAATCCATCCTTCCATAAGTTTGTAAGGTATTTGGTCAACAGTGAGAAAAGTTACTAATATTTGTCAGTATTGATTATGGAGAAAACATGAACTGAGAATTATCTTCAGTAACCAAAGTTAATTATTAAGGAACAAAACTTGAAACAGTCCTCATCTAGTCTCTTAACTGATAGTTTTTGTTTGCCCACTTAGTTAATGGCTCTGAGTACTTGCCCTCTAAGTTTTTGGGTACTTTCTTGGTACTGTTTGAAGGATAGACGGGAAGAGCACCAGTGCTGGCATGACCAACTACTTTGTCCCTCTCTGGCTATATTTTATATCTTTTTTTTTTTCGGTCTTTTTGAAGCAGGGTCTCCCTATAGCCCCAGCTGTCCTAGAACTATGTAGACCAGGCTAGCCGGCCTCGAACTCACAGAGATCCGCCTGCCTCTGTCTCCCAAGTGCTGGGATTACAGGCGTGCGCCACCCCACCCGGTTTATCTCTTATCCTGAGTCATTCTCTTCTGGACTTCCTTTGGATTTCAGGAATAATAGAACTGAAGAGAAACATTCTGATGACAAGGGACAAAAACTATTTCCAAGTAACAGCCTGACAAGACAGACTCCCCCCTCCCCCCCAAAGAAATGGCTGCTGTACTTTGGAGTGGGAATGATCATCTTCTGGGAACCAGACTGCTCCCTGAAAGAGATGTGAGCAATCACCGCTACAGAACCAGAACTTACTTAGATCCCTGGCCTGACCAAGATGACTTGCTCTATCAGTTGTTCATTATCCAAACTATCTCCTTTGTTCTTTGTATAAAATCCTGTTAGCCCTTTGAAAATGAACTTGGGTTACTGAACCCCTTTATCTACTCTTCCCAACATGACCATGTTAAATTAAATCTTTCTCTGCCTGTTACTGCTCAGCTATGTTTGGCCTACTGGGATGGATGATCAAGCCTAGTCTACTGGGATTGAGAGCCAGGGCTTTTGCTGTAAAATTCTAGTAATAAAAATATAAACTGTTAAGTGCCTAAATATTAGGCATGCCTTAACAGAAATGAAGCACTCAGCCCAAGGAGGAATGCCTAGGGTTTTAAAGTAAAATCCAGATCATGGGACACAAGCTTCAGAGAAAAGAACTAAGTTTTTTTTTTTTTTTTTTTTGGTTTTTTTGAGACAGGGTCTCCCTGTAGCCCCAGCTGTCCTGAACTCACTATGTAGACCAGGCTGGCCTTAAAGTCAGAGAGCCGCCTGCCTCTGCCTCTGCCTCCCAAGTGCTGGGATTACAGGCATGTGCCACCGCACCCAGCAAGAACAAAGTATCTTAAGAAAGAAAACTATTTCGATTGGAGACCAAGGCAACATGGAAGGGCTGGGGTTGACTGGCAGCAGACCAAGGCATCAGAAGTTCATGAGCCCAAGAAAGGTACAGGCCAAGTGACCTTGAACAGAGAAGAGGTGCCTCCCAGGTGTCAGCTGGATCACCTGACCAGCTGAGGGATGATAGTATAAATCTGTATTCTCTGCCCCCAACCAAGCATTAGAAAGTGTACTGGAAGTCCTCTGGATTCAGGACACCGTGTCCTAAAAATGAAGGGCTGGTGATTATTAGGGGAACAAATGTCATTTTATTCACTTTTGAGTTCACTTTATTATCTAGTTGCAAGTCTAGTTTTCTTAAGTGGCTTTGATTCATGAGTTTTCCCCAGTATGTTTTCTGTGTAAACACTCTGAAACGCAATAACCCCTCAATGAAGCCGCCCTGACTCTGATAAGAGGATCACAAACCTCGAAAGTAGCTACAGTAGGAAAAAAAAATCTCAAACTGGAATTTTGAAAGTGAAATGCAAGTCCATAAGAGTTTTATAGAATTTCAGCACTCAGCGGGGCCCAAGCAAGATGATTGTGAGGTGGAGGCCGGCCTGGGCCACATGGACCCCGTCTCTCAAAAAAGTAAAAGAAAGCTCTGTACTCTAGATTACTTCATCTTAACAAGCAGGGAAAGACAGGATTGGACATGGTTTGTCCTAAACTCTTCTGTAACAATGAATGTGTCTGTAGCCAATCATGGTTGGCAGAAAGGTGTGTTTAATGAGTTCCTCAGGCAGATTCCCTACCTGCCTGCCCTGTCCCTCCCTCAACCCTTGGGCTTGTTTGAGGTTTCATTTCACAAATAAGCAGCAGATGAAAATACAAGGTACAGCACAGTTGATATGGGAGGATAAGGACCCCACTCAATTTTAAGAGTATAAGCTTGGACTTCCTGTGCCCCATGCAATAAAGCAAGTTTTATGTACACTCCCCATACTTTTCTAACATTTTCTTATATAAATTTAAATATTTTACAAAAAAGCTTTTTCCTCTAAACATACAAATTTGAGCGAAATATAGACTCCCCACCCTTGAACTTATTTCTTCACTAAAATATAAATGCTCTGATAGAAGCAGACCTTAGCTGCTCGATCTCTGAAGCCTGCATTGCACTGTGGAGAAGGCACTTGTGTTTTCTGAGGTCTCCAGCAAGTATCTCAGCACTCAGAACAGCTGTCCTCCAGAACCTGCCAAGCCTCCAAGTGCCCAGTCACTAGGGCAGCTGGAGGAAAACCGCGAGTAAATGTGATTCTGCAGTTAACGGAAATTAAAAATAAAAGAGCAAGGACTAGTTCTTAGTCTAGAATGGAACTACAAACAAAATCCAAAGCGTTCATTCATGACGATTCAAACCTGCTTCATTCTCATAAATTAAAATACAAAGGTAGCTGTTTTTAATGACAAGACTCAAACAGTACTCAAAGGGGTTTGTGTCAATATACAAAAGAGTCAGTCTCTTGGGCAGGGCCTCAGGGAGCACCCAGGTCGAAGGGTGGCCTCCCTACTGCTGAGCTAGAAGGGCCGTCCTGTTGGCCTTCATCTTCTCTAGCCGCTTTGCCAGGTGGCTGTTGGTCATCTCCATCTCCTCAATCTTGTCCAGTGCTGTTCGTAGCTGGAGACAGGGAGAGCACAGTCACTGTACATGCTCAGAAAACCCAGTGTTCCTTTCGGCTTTCTGGGAATTGGGAGCCCTGCTAATGGTGATGACCTTGTATGGGGTCCCCAAACAGCCTTCTTTGGTCCATGCAGCTAGAAGTACTAAACAATGATGCTGGGGACTGTTTAAACACAAACCAAGATAGGTACAAGTTGCAGAACCTGATGTAATCTGAAGCAAAACCAAAAACTACATTTTTACTTGCAAAGTAAAGCTTTTTCCTCTAAACATACAAATTTGAGCGAAATATAGACTCCCCACCCTTGAACTTATTTCTTCACTAAAATATAAATGCTCTGATAGAAGCAGACCTTAGCTGCTCGATCTCTGAAGCCTGCATTGCACTGTGGAGAAGGCACTTGTGTTTTCTGAGGTCTCCAGCAAGTATCTCAGCACTCAGAACAGCTGTCCTCCAGAACCTGCCAAGCCTCCAAGTGCCCAGTCACTAGGGCAGCTGGAGGAAAACCGCGAGTAAATGTGATTCTGCAGTTAACGGAAATTAAAAATAAAAGAGCAAGGACTAGTTCTTAGTCTAGAATGGAACTACAAACAAAATCCAAAGCGTTCATTCATGACGATTCAAACCTGCTTCATTCTCATAAATTAAAATACAAAGGTAGCTGTTTTTAATGACAAGACTCAAACAGTACTCAAAGGGGTTTGTGTCAATATACAAAAGAGTCAGTCTCTTGGGCAGGGCCTCAGGGAGCACCCAGGTCGAAGGGTGGCCTCCCTACTGCTGAGCTAGAAGGGCCGTCCTGTTGGCCTTCATCTTCTCTAGCCGCTTTGCCAGGTGGCTGTTGGTCATCTCCATCTCCTCAATCTTGTCCAGTGCTGTTCGTAGCTGGAGACAGGGAGAGCACAGTCACTGTACATGCTCAGAAAACCCAGTGTTCCTTTCGGCTTTCTGGGAATTGGGAGCCCTGCTAATGGTGATGACCTTGTATGGGGTCCCCAAACAGCCTTCTTTGGTCCATGCAGCTAGAAGTACTAAACAATGATGCTGGGGACTGTTTAAACACAAACCAAGATAGGTACAAGTTGCAGAACCTGATGTAATCTGAAGCAAAACCAAAAACTACATTTTTACTTGCAAAGTAAAAGTTACTGTGCAGGTCAAAAACCAGCACAGAGAGGAAGCAACTCCATGAAGTTCTCTTATGATGCAACCCTGACTCAACATCCTCAGAGAAGGAAGGATTTCTTTCTATAGGATGCCTTCTTTTTAGGAGTGCATTCTCTAAGAAGCATAGCAACACAAGTACCTCTCGCTGTAGCTTCCTCTTTTCGGCTTTCAGTTCGTCTTCCATTTTCTCTGCGTTCTCAGCAGCAGTTTTGTATCGCAACACCTGTCCCTCCAGCCGGCTGATCTGTGAATATGAACACAAGGCCTCTAGGACTTGCCACCATTGCTTGGCAGCTAAGATGGAAAAACTGTGTCACTAGGAAGCCCTGGGTCTCTGACCATTCTCCATAAATCAAGGGCCTTCAGGGAAAAGGGCAGCTGCAGAGCCAATGGTGACAGGGCCAATTTCCCATGTTAAGGTCTTAGACTTTTTGAAATGTACACTAAGGGATTCTTCAGTAGGCTCTGATCTTAATTTCTCTGTTCATACCTACAAAAAAGTTGTAGATGCAAAGTCCTAAGCTTCAAAGAAAATTTTTATTACATCTATTTATTGTGTGTGTCACAGGACAACTTGCAGGAGTCATTTTTTTTTTTTTCTTCCAACATGTGGATCCTGGGGATCAAACTCAGGCTTGGCAGCAAGTGCTTTCACCCACTTAGCCATCTTGTTGGCCCAGTCTTATGTTACAGAGCAGACACAAAGCTGAACCCCAGCCAGATGTTCTCTGGTGGCTTTTCAACTATAATATGGAGCTTTGGTAGAGATCCAGCTGCCAAGGCCACCCAAAGAAACTCATAGGACTAGCCGCTTGGATGTAGGAGGATGAGGGCCATTTAATGGCATTTAGTAGCATTTCAATCATTTGGTACCTCAGAAAAATACTTACACTTTGTTCCAAGGTGGTAATGTCTTGTTCTGCTTTTGAAAGCTTAAATTTGTATTCACTAATTTGTCTATTGGCATCTCCTAAAACAGAAGATAATAATGAATTAGAGTCATCTCCCAGAGATGGAGGTGTGAAGTACCTGACAGCAGCACCTTTGGTGGCATACGGAGGACATGCAGCTTGGGTTCGGGACTGTGTACTGTAAGAAGCTCCAGCATTTACACTCAGCAGTATCCTGAGGACTAAGTTAGAAGAAAAGTCCTTCCTTGCCTCTTTGTGTGAAGAGCTCTTTGAGAAAGGGACCTCACAGGATGGCAGTGGCCTCTGCCAACCTCATTGACCTGGGGCCTATGAAGCCTCTGTGCTCAGGGGACTGGGCCCCCTGGTTGTCTGAACCTAGCCCAGTACTTGGCATCTCCCAGGTAGTGTTTTCTACACTCTCACACTGTCACCCCACCACGGATTTAAGTCTTAACCAACCTTCAGTGAGATGAATATTTTCATCTCCATGACTCTAGTGAACTATGTAACTTTCTTCCCTTGTTGTGTTTTATTTGCATTATTTTTATAATTGTGCTTTTTAATATTGTTTGTATATGAAAGAGAGGGGCCGTGTTTTAGCCTTCTTAAATTCACTTATGTATCGACCCACTGCTTTGCACAGTGCATGCTCCAATAAGTATTTGCTGAGAAAAATGTTTTAATAGCATGCTGTGGTAATGTTACAGGAACAGCTACAAATCATTTGATGTACACTGTACACAAGAAATAAGAAAGCTTAGAAATTAGGGTCCCAGCACTTGGGAGGCAGAGGCAGACGGATGGATCTCTGTGAGTTCAAGGCCAGCCTGGTCTACATAGTGAGTTCCAGGACAGCTGAGGCCACAGGGAGACCCTGCTTCTAAAAGACCAACAACAACAACAACAACAACAACAAAAAAAAAAAGCAAGTAAGATAAAATAAGGTTGCAAACCACCTCCTAAGGATACCTCTGGTAGTAGAAAGAACATTCCATTCATGAACTCTGAAACAGAAGCTGCAGAGTCCTATTTTTAAAAAAATATTGCCAGGTGTGGTGGTGCATGCCTTTAATCCCAGCAGAGGCAGTAGATCTTTATAAGTTTGAGGCTCGCCTGGTCTGCATAGTGAGTTTCAGGCCAGCTGGGGCTGCAGGGAGGCCCTGTCTCAAAAAAAAAAAAAGGAAAGACCAAAAAAATTTATTATTCTTTTTTGTGTGTATGAGTGTATTGCCTGCATGTATCTAAGTGCATTTGTGTCATGCAATGCCCCCAGAGGCCAGAAAAGGAAATCAGATCCTACGGAGCTGGAGTTAAGGACAATTGTTAGCTGCCAAGTGGGTGCTGGGAACTGAACCCAGGTCCTCTACAAGAGCAGCCAGTGTTCTTAACCACCCAACCACCCAACCATCATCTCTCCAGCCCTTAGAGTCCTATTTTTAAATTCATATCCCCAGTAGCTTTTTTTTTCCTCATGGGTCTCCTGTAGCCCCAGTCCATCTGGAACTCAGAATGCAGACCAGGCTAGCCTCAATCTGACAGAGATCCACTGCTTCTGCCTCCCAAGTGCTGGGAATAAAGGCGTGTGCCACCATATCCACATCTTAGAAGCCTTTTGATTATCAAAATGTGCAGCTTCCTTCTCCCTTTCAAACCACCAATTCCCTACTGTTTACAAGTCCCCTCTCATTCATTTCATGTGGTTCTGAAACATGACTCACTAATGACCAAGGTGCTTTCCAGAACCAACAGCTGCTCCAGCCCTTTTCCTGGGCTCTGGTCAGAGATGTGCTTGCTTAGTCTTCAGCAGCCAGGCCCTGCCTCCCTAGGCCTGCTCAAGTACCTTCCTTCTACACCTCTATCTGTGTACAAACCCACCTACAGTACCTACTTAGCTCTAGGAAGCAATCACATCCGTACGAGTCTTCTCTTCAAGTTGGTTCCTTTTTGAATTTGCTCTTTAGGCCAGTTTTCAAATCTCACTGAGCTCTCTAGAAAGCTGGCAGCCACTGTACTGGCTCAGGGCTTCCTAACTAGCCCACCCACCTGGCATGTTCCTGTCCCACCACACCAAAATTATATTCTAGAACAAAATGCTCATTAGGAAACATCCTGAGAGTCCTAGCTGAGGTGCAAAAGAAGTCATGCTGATCTTCAGCCAGGTGTGGTGGAGCACGCCTTTAACCCCAGCACTTGGGAGGCAGAGGCAGGCGGATCTCTGTGAGTTTGAGGCCAGCCTGGTCTACATAGTGAGTTCCAGGCCAGCTGGGGCTACAGGGAGACGCTGTCTCAAAAAGACCAAAAAAAAAAAAAAAAAAGAGAAGTCATGCTGATCTTAAAAGTTAGTGTTAATAAGCCTTGATCCCCAAATCCTTCTAATCCACCTAACTCAGATTGTTTCAATGAAAAGGCCATAAAGAGCCAAGATTAAAGTTAGTTATCAGAAAAGCCACTACAAATAAGAAAATAAAAGTCCTTTGCTTCTCTATTATACAGTACCACTAGCAAGCTGGCCACATAAGAATGCGAATGCTGCTGAAACAGCTGTGGGATTTTGTAGGAACACAGCATGTAAAACTATTAATATAAGTCAAAGTAGAAAGGGATAAAAATAATTTGGGCAAACTATATTCTGTGGCCTTCTAAAAAAATTCCATCTTAAGATTAATTTTTGACAAACCAGGAAATTTCAGAAACTGTTCAACATTAGTGAGAGTTGGTCTTAAATCTTCAACTATCCAAGATGAATTCTAAAGAAAAACCTCAAATGGAGGCACTCCAAACGGGAACTCTGAGATCACATGCAGTGCAGGAAGACAGCCACTGGCCCTCTGTCATCACTGGGGCTCACAGGTGAGAAAGCCTCACTCAGCTCCAAGGTCACTAGCACTACTCTTCTGGACACCAGCAGCCTGCTCCTGCTCTTCTCCAGGGACACACTGTATGTGCTGGTGCAGACTGGCCTGTCCCATGGTACCTACTCTGCATCTCGATGAACTGCAAGTCTGAGCCGTTCTGTAGTGCTGCTAGGTCGCCAGATGTGCCATCATTCCTGGAACACTTCTGCCGTTCTTCCTCTAACTGCAGCTTCAGCTTTCTAACCTGAGGTGGAAAGAAAAGTCACCACTGAGACTACAGTCTGTCTCTGTGTTTTTGTCTCTGTCTCTTTTTGTGTGTGATACTGGGGATGGAGCCTAGGACCTCAGACATACTAGGCAAATACGTTACCATTACCACCGAGCTTGATATCTAGACTTCTTTTTACTTTAGGATAGGGTCTAAGTTTCCCAGGCTAACTAGAGCTTACTCTGTAGCCCAGGTGGTCCTTGAACTTACAATTCTCCTGCTTTATGCTCCCAAGTAGTTGGGATTATGGACCTGTTCACCAGGCCTGACTGAAAGAAAGTATCTTTGTGTGTGTGCATCTGTGTGCATCAGGTATCTTCCTTAATTGTTTTTTATGTTATTTTTTGAGATGAGGGTCACTTACTGAACCTGGATCTCACCCATTTTGCTAGGCTGGCTAGCCAGCAAGCTTCAGGAATCCTTCTGTCTCTGCCTTCCCAGTGCTAGGACTATAAGCACACACTGCCATACCTGGCTTTTTATGTGTACTGGGAACTCAAATTCAGGTCCATCTCCCTAGCCTCAAGTCTTTCTCTTAAGTAAAGCAGATGCTTGACTCAGTGGCCACATCACAGAACAAAGCAGATCCTCCTTCTATCAGCAAATTATTAAAATTATTCATTCGAACACTATTCTTCCTATGAGACATAGCTCTAGGTACTAGACATAAACCATGAACAAACAGAAAAAGGAGTGAGCCCCTGGACCTGGTGCTCCCATAAAAACAACCATGTTGCCAGGCATGGTGCATGTGCTTACATGGAGATCAGAGGACAATTTTGTGGAGTTGGTTCTCTCCGTCCACTTGTGGGTTCTGGGGATCAAACTAGGTTGTCAGGCTTGCATGACATGCACTTTACCCAGTCTATGTCAGAAGTCTAAGCAACTGTCCTTTCAGACAGGACAACGAAGATGCAGCTTTTTAAAAACTCTCAAGGAGGGCTGGAGACATGGGTCAGTGGTTAAGGGCACTGGCTGCTCTTGCAGTGGACCCAGGTTCGGTTCCCAGCATCCACATGGTGGCTAACAACCATCTGTAACTCCAGTTCCAGAAGATCTGACACCTTATTCTAACCTCCGTGGGCACTGCATGACAAAACCAACAAATAAAATATATTTTTAAAATTTTTATTTATTTTATGTGTATGCATGTATTGCCTGCACATAGGTAAGTGCACCCATGTTGTGCAATGCCCACGGAGGACAGAAGAGGCTGCCGGATCCCCTGGAACTGGAGTTACAGACAGTTGTTAGCTGCCATGTGGGTGCTGGGATTTGAACCCGGGTCTTCTGCAAGAACAGTCAGTGTTCTTAACCACTGAGCCATCTCTCCAGCCCAATAAAATATTTTAAAAAAAAAACTCTCAAGGAAAATGACACCTGTGGGCCTGAAGGTCATGAAAAAAATAACAGTCCACATGCTCTTTTGTCAGGGAGCTAATGGAATATGTACCAAAACAAGAGAATGAAGAAGAAAGGAGGGTAGAAAGACTGGGAAAAGGGAACCCAACTCAAACCACAGGCAGAGAAAGTCCCTGCAGGCTGATGGAGGTGAGTTCACATCAGTGCCAAGGGAATGGACCACTAGTTCAGAATGGGTTGAATCTGGTGTATCAGAACCTTTGAGTGGGCTTAAATTAATGCTTAAAACTGGCCTGCCAGGCATGGTGGAACACGCCTTTAATCTCAGAACTTGGGAGGCAGGGGCAGGCAGATCTCTGTGAGTTCAAGGCCAGCCTGGTCTACATAGTTCCAGGACAGCTGGGGCTACAGGGAGACCCTGTCTCAAAAGGACCCCAAAAAAACAAACAAAAAAACTGTGGCCAACTTATTGATAAACACAAGAAAACCAGGCATATGGAGCAAGTTAACACACTGTTAACTCCAGGGAAAACAAGTAGCTGTGGAAGAAGTGAAAGGTGATCCCAGAACATAGGAGGGCTAGCCTGGTTTATATACTGAGTTCCAGGTCAGCTGTGGCTACAGGGAGACACCTTCTCAAAGGGAAAAAAGAAAGGGACTAGAGGAAGTGTGTGCATATGTGGCAGGGGCTTATCTTCTGTAGGTGAATGTCAGCAAATGGAGTCAGCATCAGCATTACACAGAAGTGGCGCATGCCAAGAGGCAGCTAACAACCATCTGTAACTCCAGTTCCAGGGGATCCGACACCCTCTTCTGACCTTTGTGGGCACTACATAACACAGTTGCACTTAACATACATGCAGGCAATACACTCATACACATAAAAAGTAAAGTAGTAAATAAAATGTTAAAAACGAAGAAAAACTGTAAGTGATCATTTATACTTTAAATCTTACTTGAAGCACTGAAGTTAGAAATCAATGTATTTCTAATTTCTAATGAACATTGTACTACTGTCTCTCACCACCTATCCCAGATGAAATGATGAGACTGCCACAAGAACAAAGCCTACCTGTGACAGTAGCTCCTCCTTTTCTCCAGCAAGCTTTCGTAGCCTTACATCTAAAACAAGTAACAAAAGGTATGAACTGAATTTGTAAAGGTGTGGTACATAAACAACAAATTCCACATACTCATAAGCAGCAAACAGCTTGTAAATCATATTACAACGCTGAAGAGGAGAAATAAAGGCCTTAATTATAATGTAAAAGAAAACTTTATTATCCCAAATTCATCACCAAATAAAATACTTGTTCTCAAGGCTGTGATTTTCTGCCAGAGACCAGCTGAAGTATGGAGGAGCCACTTCTTTGTTTCAAGACTTCAAGTTTTCAGCAGTGAGTTCACAAAGTCTTCAGCCTTTATAGGAGAGGAGACTATGGAGCAGGAGAGGGACCGTGGGCAGGCTGAGCAGGAAAGCAGCACAAGGCTGCAGGAAGCAGTCCTCCAAAGGCCATGCACTGAGGGGAGGAGTCAGATACTCTAAGATTCATCAACATAAAACTGGAGAAATCCAGGGTGGATTTAAATTTAAGAAGACAGGCAAGGTGGCGCATGTCTTTAATCCCAGCATTCAGCAGACAGAGGCAGGCAGATCTCTGTGAGTTCAAGGCCAGCCTGGTCTACATAGTGAGTTCCAGGCCAGCTGGGGCTACAGGAGACCCTGTCCCCAAAAAGACCAGGAAAAAAAAAAAATACAAGAAAACCAGGCATACGGAGCCTGGACTCCAACACGAGGTGGCCAAAAGCGAATCTGAGGCTGGTGCAAAAGGCTGTGTCTTCCTAAGCAGAAATAGGCTCCTTGGGCTGAGTAGGTACCCTTAGTAGTTCAGTTAAAGAAGCAGCTCCACCTGACCAACTGCCCCATAATCAACGAGGGCCACAGACCCTGTCAGTTGCTTCAGCCCTTCAAACAGACAGAGGAATACCTGAGCTGCCCACTGCTATCCTTTTTCTACCTATTATCAGGCTATGGATAGCTATGAATGTGGCTCACCACAAAATTTAAAATTTAGTTAAAACATCATGAGACTCTGAGATTTTCTGGGGGTTTTTTGGTAACCCAACTGTATAGTTCTTGAGCATGGACTTTATAAATGAAGTCATGTCAAATGTCAAAAGGTTGGGGGCACCTGCAAGATCTTCTCTCCTGCTTACCCATACCCTATATCAAGGTGCTCAACAATCAATTACATTTCAAGATTTATGCACATTACACAATGTATACACTAACTCTAAAATGCTCTTAACTTGTACTATCTTACAGTACTTCACACCCCTGTGAGAAACTAAATACACACAAAAACAAGGTAGAAAAGAAAAACAAACAAACAAAAAACCAACAGTGAGAGGATGGCACAGTATCTCTCTCTCTGCTAGCTTCCTCTGGGGACCCATAGCAGGGGGAAATGGATGGCCCCCTTTTTGACTTCATAGGGAGATGTCACTAGATTCTCAAAGGGTCAGTTTTAACAGTTCTAGAAATTACACTTTTCCAACACTTGTCTTCTCCATTAGTTATTTCTTGCCTTTAGAAATGTGGCCGAGAGCTACAGGACCCGGGGATTAGCTGTGGCGCCTAAGACCAGGCAGTCTAGGAGGAGGCTGAAAACATGCTGGGAACTCCTGCCAGCCTGCAGCTTCACTGGGTGGGGCACGCTGGGCTTCTGTATAAAGTCTGCTTTAGGCCAAGGCAGCATGCATATGCTGGCACCACTTCTACCCAGGGGCCTCTTAGCTATGCCTCAGATAACCCAACTGTGGGTTTCCCAAGAGCAAGGATGTCTGAGGACAATGTGTCCAGATTCTTCCTTGTCTAAATAGTCCACATATGTCTTTGTTTTCCAAGCTAGAGGCTCAACATTAATCAAAGACCAAACTGCAACCAGTATCTTACCTAGTGGTCCTTCTCCTGCCGACTCCAAGACCTGAGCAGCTTCCTGAGACACAACAGCAATGGCTCCAACCATGGGTTCGTGACTGACATCACCATTGGGAGTGCCGTCTGGGATTATAACTAAACCATGTTTCTGTGGGAAAGAAATCACTTACATCACACAAGATGGCTCACACAGAAACAAGTTCTGTTGAGGCATCTCTGCAACAGTGTATGTTTGCCGGGGGTAAAAACTAGTTAGAATTAGTGATGTGATAAACCTTTGTAGAGGAAATGGCTCAATCCACTATGTCAAGGCTGTTGTCCATATTCAGGAAGGAAAGATGGCAAGAGGAGGGGAAGAAGGCAGAGCACTACAGTGAGGGCCTGAGCCCAGGCTCAGGCTGACATACCTCTGCTGTCTTCACTGTCTCCTGCAGGTCAGCCAGCTCCTCTCTGAGCACATCTCGCTCATTCCTGAGACAGGCAATGTGTTCTTTCTGTTTCTCTAGAGCCTGGGTTTAGGCAGGGGAGCAAAGGAAAGAACAGCACAGAAAAAGAGCAAGAGAAATAATTCAAATAAGCAGATGAGAACTTGGAAGCAAGGAAGCAGTCAGAAGCTTGGAAGCCAGCAGCCAGATAGGAGGAACTGGATACACAGCTCCAAAGAGTTTAATAGAGAAGGGCACCCATGCATACATTTAGAAAACATGCTTGTCACATGAAGAAGAAGACCTATGTTTTACAGGCAACAAAGAAGACAGGAAAACCAAGACAGACAGCAGCAAAAGTTGAATTTTCCTTACTGACCTCCTTACTACATTTTATTACTTTTATTTTATGTGTATGAGTATATTGCCTGCATGTGTGTGCACGTTTGTCATGCAATGCCCAAGGAGTCAGAAGAGGGTGTTGGATCTCCTGGAACTGGAGTTACAGATGGTTGTTAGCTACCATGTGAGTGCTGGGAATTGAACCCAGATCCTCTGCAGGAGCAGCCAATGCTCTTAACCACTGACTCAACTCTCCAGTGCTTCTTTACTACATTTTTTGTTTGGTGAACAAAAAAGCAAAAAAAATAAAAAAAAATAAAAAAAAACCACATTTTGTGTTTAACGAAAACAGTTAAGGAGACAGGATCTCTCTGTAGCTCCAGCTGTCCTGGAACTCATTATGTAGACCAGGCTGGCCTCAAACTCACAGAGATCCACCTGCCTCTGCCTCCCAAGTGCTGGGACTACAGGCATGTGCCACCACACCCAGCTTGGAAGATACTTGGTTTTTAAAAATAACAATGGTTTTAGAAGGAAAGTGACCAGTATAGATAAGTTATTTTAATTAAATATCGGCAGTATGATTGCTCTCTAACTCGCATGGCAACAAATACTGAAATACTATTTGATCCAAAATAACTAATCTCCAAAAGTATTCTCTAGAATCTACCATTTGTTAATTAAATGCAAGTAAGATTCATTGGGCTTTCTGACACACTGATAAAATAAGAACAAAAATAAAAAAACAAATGAATACTAGCCTAGTTATGAGTGATGGCAGATTAAAGTTTTCAAATCTAGCTTCAGGGGCCTGGCACATCCATAACTAAGCTAGACCTTAATCCCCTCATCTGACAAACAGTAGACCTAACCACCTGTTGTGGCAGGCTGTGATGCTTGGAGGGGAACTCAGCCTGCATCCTCTAGGTACTATAGGAGGTTCAGGGACGGGGGTTCCTTGGGAACACCCCATTTCCTGCATCTCAGCTTTTTTATCAGGACAGTAGGACAGTACGAAAGCAGGAACGTCCTTTGGTCATCAATAGCAAATCTACTCAAAGTGCATTAAAGCATTAGACAAAAGCAGTCTATGCAGTAACCTGACAGCTGGGCTATTAAAAGAAACCCTTCTCTCTGTATTTTTCTTATACTCAATGGTTTCTTCCAGCATTAACCAGGAATTTAAATTACATAGTAACTTTTTAAATAAATATATTATTTATTATTTTTATTTTATATGTATGAGTGTATTGCCTGCATGTATGTGAGTGCATCCGTGTCGTGCAAGGCCGCGGAGATCAGAAGAGGGCCTTGGATTCCAGGGGCTGGGAATTGAACCTGGGTCCTCTGCAAGAGTAGTCAGTGCTCTTAACTGCTGAGCCATCTCTCCAGCCTCTTACATAGTAACTTTTATCTCAGTTCACCAAGTTTAAAAATAGGTCAACTGCTTCCTTACTGATGGCAAGAAAGTATTTTGTTGTTTTGTTTTTTTGTTTTGTTTTTTGTCTTTTTGAGACAGGGTCTCCCTGTAGCCCCAGCTGTCCTGGAACTCACCACGGTGGCCTTGAACTCACAGAGATCCGCCTGCCTCTGCCTCCCCAGTGCTGGGATTGAAGGCGTGTGCCACCACGCCCGGCCTGTTTTAGTATTTTTAAGAGAAGATCTCATATTGCACAGGCTAGCTTCAAGCTTGCTTGAACTCCTGATCCTCCTGTCTCCACCAGTGGTGTGATTATAGGCAGGTGCCAGCACTCCTGGCTCTAGTGGGTAATTAAAAAAAATTCATTATGTAGTCCTATTTGGTAACCAAATTGGGAACAAGTAAGAAATGATAGCAACTGCCCCAGTACTGCGTACCACAGACCTCACAGCGGGCACCGCACTACCTGATGTGTGAAATGGTGCCCTTAAGCCCTCACGTACTGCGTATCCTCCCCCTTTCTTACGAGTTGGAAAACTGAGGCTCAGAGAATACTGTTCTTATTATCTGTCCAAAGTTACAGTAGTACAAAGGTGAGAGGATGAATCCAGTTCTTTCTGGTTCCAAAGCCCTTATATGTTGTTTTGTGTCACAGACCACAGAGGCTGCATTTAGTTCCTTTACTGTCATCCCTGGTAATGCCAGGAAAGCAGCCCATGGAGCAGATCCTCTCCATACTTTTCCAAACTGTTATGTCAATAGTTAACTTCCTATCCATACGTGGGGGAAATTCACACATATGTCTCAAGTTACATATAAATTAACCCGAGAGTCTGGCATTAGGTGGCCTTTAACCTGAAGCTAGTACCAACACTTCACTGCATTATAGTAAAGAAGCATCAGAAAAACAAAGCACAGCCACACTTGCTGCCTGCAGGCAGTCACCTGCGTCTCTGCTGGTTTAGATGTGTTACTGGATGGGCATGCACAGTTGTGCCATGCATCATTGCATATAACTGAGTAAGCGGTCACCTTCACAACATGCTCTGTAAATATACCACCAAATACACAGACTGCTCAGGAACAGACCAATTTGAAATTAGGAATTCCAGCAAACGCTAGTACATGGCATTTGCTCCCCATTCCACAATTACACTGCTGGGTTTTTGTTTTACTTTTAGGTTTTAAAATTTCATCTTCCCATGATTATAGCTAGGAAAATAAAATATATCCTGTGTATTTGTTCATTTCACCACAAAGTTTGAAAACTACTGAAAACCTTATAATTGGGTCAAACGTATTCGTTCTGGATCCAAAATCCTCTGTATTACCTGACCACATAACCATCACCCTGTGCTCGTAGGCAGCAATAGCCCCTACCAGCAAATTTTTTTTAGGGTAAAAAGTACATGTTTGTAGAGATCTAAATAATTCTTTGTGCCAGGTGTAACTCCTGATTTTAACATCAAAAAGCCAAACAGATGTATACTGGGCCGAACTGTTGGGCAAAGGGTTAAATTGCCATATAATTGTAGTCAGTGAAAATGGGAGACAGGGATGCTGGGCTGATAGGACACACAGGCTGTTCTTCAGACACACCCACTCAATGGGCTGTGGAGAGTTGCAAGGAGCCAGCAGGAGAGCACTGAGTTCAAGAAGGAAGAACGAGAGAAAACAAATTTCAACCTGGGACATGTTTCTTCATGAAGTTGCTAAACTAAGTACTTAAAAACAAAGCTGGAGACGGGTGATGCAATAGGAATCACTGGCCACACCATAAACTGTCCTTTCAAAGTCAAAAGAAAGCTGTATGTGGGAGCACCTGATTGTGATCCCAAAGTTGGGAAGCAGAGGTAAGAAGACTGTGAGTTAGGGGCCAGCCTGGGCTGCACGGCAAGTTCAAATGCAGCCAGAAACCCACTCCATCTCAAAAAACCAGCAGCTAGAGATGTAGCTCATTGGTAGAGCGTTTGCTTTTTGTGTGAGTCCCTGGGTTCTACTCCCATTACTGGAAAAAAAAAAAAAAAAAAAAAAAAAAAAAAAAAAAAAA